GGGCGCTGCCGGGGCGCTGCCGTGCCGTGCCGTGCCGTGCCCACCTGCAGGTAATCCACGCGTGCCAGGCTCGGCTCCATCGCGTCCCTACCGCGGGCACGGCGCGCCCGCCGCCCGTCACCGCGGCAACCTCCGCGCGGGGCCCGCCTCCCATTGGCTGCGCAAGGGGGCGGGAGGCGGGGCCTCGGCCAGACGGGCGCTGCGATTGGCTGGGAGGCGGCGGGGCGGGGCGAGGGGCGGGCAGAGGCGGGAGCGCCCCGGGGCGGCTCCCGCGGGAAGGGCGCCGGGCCATCCCGGGCTCGGTGCCGAACGGCACGGGAGGAATGGTTTGTTTAACAACGAAGCCAAAAATGTCTGCCCTGCACGGGCTCTCAGTTTAAAAAAAAAATAAATCCATAGTCGCCGCAGCGTAAATACACTGAATTAAGAAAGGGGTGGTGCGGGTACGTGTATAGAGACATGTTAAATAGCGCTGCTGCCATTACATTCCCACTTACCTGGTTCTCAGCAATTCCTTGTGGTCATAACCATGAGTTCTGGGCTTACACGCGTTACTAGCACCACTAATAAAGAACAACGATTTCAAGTAATCCTCCACTCATCTCTAGTTGGTTTATTGTAGTATGAAAAATCCTATTTTGTACCTGGACACTGCAAGGAACAGAGTATAACACTGTATCTGTTAATTTTTTGTCTTGCAAATTTAGTGCAAAGAATTCTCCATATGTAATCATAAACCTGTTAAAATATCAGCAATCGATACCATTATACATTTTTAATGCATAAATGCAAAAAAAAAAGTTATGATAGTTCTTGCTTTTACACAATTAAAATGAAGAGAGCAATCTTTTTGTGGTGAGTTAATAAAAGTTCCTAAGACTAAATTCCAGAGAAGCTGTACATAAAGTTATTTAGTGCTAAAAATCTACAATACATTTTTTTCAAGTATAAGATACTGAAATATTATTGCCAATAAATAGTTGTGCTGTAGTCGAAGCCACGGTTCCTTTGTTGAGTCATTCACATCTCAGCATATTAGGATTTAGTTTCTCACTGAGTTTATGTATTAAAATTGCCAACTCTTCTGTTGCTTGGGACTTATCCTCCAACAGTTCATAGCGAAGACTGGAGATGTCCTGTTTGATTTCCTTTAATTCACCTGCATTAATAATGAAAATAAACACTTTTTAGCAAAGTTTAACATTCAGTTAAGTCACACCAGTGCCTATTTCAGATTATCATCCCAAAATGTTCCTGAGAGCAGGTACAGGATGGGTCAGGAGGATTTACCTCGTCTTCATTCTCAGTGAGATGTGTCTCCAGCCCTAAATAGCACCAAAGGAATTTTCACAGTCCACTGGAGCATTGTGCTCCATGTGTACACACAACACCAAAGATTCCCAAAGGGCTGTACAAAGGTTAATGAATTAATCACACCAACACTGCTGAACAGCTGGTAAATATTAGTATCCCCTTTTTAGAGAGAAAAGGAAAAGATTTTTTTTCTGAAGGGGTGTGCCAAAATCACAAGGAAAAAGTGTGGCAGAGCTGGCAGTAAAACTCACAGCTTTTGAGTCTCTCCTCTTCCTTACCAACATCCTTGGAATTAGAAAAAGTGAGCCAATTTAACATGATGTTATAATTTGACACAAATACAAAAAACACATTTAAACAAGACAGTTGTCTAAGCCAGGCTCGTAATAGGCAGCAGCATGTGCTCCCTTGTAGGATATTCAGTTGAAGAGCAAAAGCTTTCAAAAATGTTCAAATACTGTTCTTCCAGCAAGTGTGAGGGATATGAATTCTTACACAGTATCTGCCTAGGGAAATTATTTGTCATGTACGAAAGAAAGGAGTATGAAGAGACACTTATATTCTCTAGTGATGCAGAACAGGGAAAATCTCGAGACTTTTTGCTTAAGTAGTTATAGTACATAGAAATGCCAATGTTTTCTGTTTAGGGCATAGCAGACTTCAAGAATTGTGTCTTCAGAGGCTGGGTCTGTGCTTTGGGTACCAATGAGATGCTCAGGACACTGAACACTTAGCTGTGCAGATGAAGAGTGAAACTCAAGAACTCAAGGGTTACTTGCCCTGCTCAAAGTGGACTTCCCTCTACAAAACCTGGTGCCAAAGCCAGAACCATGATGTCAGTAAACCCTGATTCTTCTGCACTGTCTTTCTAATTTAAACACATCTCTGCCAACACCAGAGTGGCATCAGGGATCTGGAAAGGGCTGGCGCTGCTGGTGACAGAACAGTCTTTTCATCAGTCACTAGGCAGATGATTTCCTACATCACAGAGAAGGAACAGGAAGAAAGCGGTGGGAATTCAGGAGAGCTGCACACTGAGAGGATTCACTTTCAGGAGCCTTTCTGTTTTTGTCACTGACAATCACAGCTCTGTACAGACACACAGGATGGGGAAGTGTCAGGATAACAGTCAGTGCACAATGCTGCCATTTGAAGGGGATTTAATTTAATCCTTTTCGCTCCCTGCTTCTTGCTGAAGAGAGTTATAGGTAAGCAGAGAACAACTAGGGAGCAAAACAGAAGCTTTGCTGCCTCAGCTGAGAGCTGAGCAGCCCTTTCAGGCCCCTTACATCACACATGCACACAGCTGCCTGATGCTGCCATGCCAGTAAAACATCTTCAGTCCATCCCTGCATCACTCTATTGCTTGATAACATTCTAGCTAGAGTTTTTGTTTGGGGATCTGCCAGAGCACAGGAGTTTCCTTGTTGGACTGCAGGCCTGTGTTTCATTCCTGGAAGGTTGGAAGGAGGAGGACAACCTTTGCCATAGTCTCATCCCAGTGGTGAGTTAGGGTGTGCAACTGCAGCAAGCACCTCTCACATCTGCCAGGGAGCTCAGATCCATTGTTTCTCAAAAGATCTTCCACTAAAAGAGAGGTTACATTTGTCATTTTTTTATCAACATGCAGCTGACTGTGGAGCTTTGTTTAATGATGGGCAGCTTCACAGGTGATTAATCCTCACAGCTTTGTGAAGGAAGGGAGGACAAATAGTTCAGGGTGTAAAGTGCTAAATTGTGTATAATTGTGTGCTCAGTTGAATGAAATAGGGAGGAAGATCCTGCAGTTTTGATTAGGACTCTGGAAGTGTGAATACAGTTAATGGCTCCTTCACAAATTTCCTCTGTGCATTATGTCTGTGCCCTCATTTTCAGTCTGTGAAATGAGGCCCATAATATTTCTCAGTTCTACTTCTTTAGTCCTACTTTTCCATTTCTTTGATGACATGGGCATACTTTCCATTACTATCTGAGCCTCAGTGCATGTGAAATAGAAACAATCCCTCTTTTCACTCAAACCCCCCATGCATCACTGTAATACTGGTTCTTAATACAACATGAAAAAAATTGCCTCTAAATATTGCAGTCTCTTTCTTACCTTCATTGACTTCATCATTTTCTTTGTCCACTTGTGCTTTCAGAACGTAACGCTTTATCAGTCTCTTCATTATTTGCTGCCAGATTAAAACAGTTATATAATCAGGTGAGATTATATAATTAAACATTGTTCATTTTTCTTTCTTAGCTCTCTCTGTCACATCTGCCTAAGAATGAACAGTCCCAGAAGAAGTACTTGCCTGAAATGGGCTTTTCTGGGGGCATGCTGAGAAAGGAAGGGAACAGCCAACCTAGTCAGCTTTCACATCCCTTTACCCAGAAACCCATTTCAGATATTCCTTCGCCAGTTTCAGATGTCTGCTCCTCGCATTTTCCCAAGGGGGACATCAAAGACCAATTTTAAGTACTGCATGAGCTAGTTTTGAAATGTTTCAAATTATGGGCTTGGACAATAATATTTTGGGGTTTTTTGTTTTGTTTTTTTTTCAAGGAGCACCCCAGAGTTTGATTTCTACAGGAGATTTTCTTTCTCTGGTGAAGGCAAAATGTTCTTGAAACACAAAATTCTGCTAGAACCTTCTCACTGTTCTATTGCTCAGGACAGTGATTACTGTATATACTTACCTGATAGCGTGTTGGCTGATTGAGAATGCTGTTAAAACTGTGGGATTCAAAAACTCTGGAGTTCGACTGAGTGAAAAGGTTTAACTAGGAAGAAATGAGACAAAATTAAAATAAATTATGGAATTCACAGTTAGGATTCAGCTCCATTAATATTTTTCTTTAGACATGTTGGGGACCTTTCCATGTTTTACTATATTAGAATATTATTTTTTTTTAAATGAGATTGCCTTGAATTATATGTCAGTTTTATTTTGTTTGGGGTTTTTTTAATGCTGATAATTTTAGCCATCCTGTTCTGTGGAAATAGGCTTAAAGTATCTTTTATCAATATTCAAGTAACTCCTTGTGGGAATTATTTGCATTTTTGAACACTCATCAATTTCTGTTTTAATTGTGTTTCTCCAGATTTGGTTGTTCTAACAAAATTTAAATTTTAAAATAATTTCTTGCTTTATACACTATGTTTAGGCAGTCTGAAATAGAGATTTATTGCTATAAATGATTAATTACTCTATTATCATTAGAATAATGGATTACAGGCTAAAACTAAAAAGAAAAGAAGACCGCTGGAATAGACACAAATTATCACACAATCCCTGCAATGAGAAGATCTCAGAACCTACCCTTGATTTGGAATTGCCCATTCCCATTTCAATGTCCTTCTGTAGCCGTCTCCTCCTGCACTTAGAAAAGTTAATGATCCTCATGATGAAATAGAAGAAAGATTTGGGGCTTGGTACAAGACTGAAGGGGGGAGGTAATGTTTTTCCATCATCAAAATATGACAGCCAAAGTTTAGAACGAGCAAACTTCCACTCTACATCACTGTCATCCTGTGTTAGAAAATAAGAGAGATTATACTCTTGGTTTTTATGAAATGCAAAGCTTCTTTCAAATGAAACTGCTTTGAAATATCTTTATGGTTTTAGATAAAATATTGTATTCTTGCTAGTAAGACTTCCAGCAGTTCTGCAGAAATGCAACCACTTAACTTAGTCTATTTTAACCAAATTTCAGTCATCTCTTTATGGCAACATTTCATTGAGAACACTTAGTTCAAACACATGAAGCATTTAAGCAAGCATAATTTTTGCACCAAGTGAAAGCCAACATAGAAACTCCCTGCTATTTAAAGTGGAGCTTTCAGGGGTTTTTCAAGTCTTGTTTTTCTTATTAAAGTGGTCACATGGGCTTGGTACTTGCACAAGTGTTGAAGTATTAGACTCAAGGCAAAAAATGGCTTAAAATGGTAGTGCTCACAACTTTTTACATAACCAGGACAAGCAACTCTGATTTATAATGGAGTTTAGAAAATGCAAACTTTGTGGTTCTGAAGAAATTGTGTTAAATACTGACAAACCTATTTTGTCCTAATACATTCTTACTGAAGTATTCCAAGGCTGGATTATAACTAGTTTTTCCTGCTGAATTCCCTAACATTTCCCAGAACTCATTGAAAAGACTGGGAATGACATAACCATTTGTACACTATGTCTTAGATAATCGTTCTTCCTGTTTGTGTGGGTGTGTGCCTGCATCTGTGTGAATGTAGTACTCTTTGAACTCATGATCTGGAAAGCTGGCACTATAAATACACTTTTACTTTCATTTCAGCAATCTGAGATTTATTTTCCAAACCCAAGTAACTTCAATGCTATACATCTTCTAATTTGTTTTTTAACTGGAGTTGGATGCCAAATATAATGTGTACACAACATGACATAAACTTGTTTAGATGCTGTGAGGTTCTGCAGCTTGGCTGAGTTGTTAGATGAAGTCAGCCTTCTTTTACACATTTTATTGATATCCTTTCCTGTGATATCCTCTTCTTTGTACTTTTTGCATACCACTGAAATAATTCCAATTTTCTCTGCCCTTTTTACAGCCACAGAAGAGAACAACTTGAGAGCAGAGCCCACCTCAATTTCTTGATATGAACTGTTGATCATAGCAATCAGCATGTTGAGCAGAACCACCACCATTGTGACGTTGTATATGCCATAAAGAACATAACCAATGTTCTCAATGAACTTGTGATCGTATTTGAGGACAACAGAGGTTACTTCAGACAAGCCAAATATTGACCAAAATAAGGTCTTGAAACTTTCTTCCACTCTGTAGGAGAAATAAGAGGAAGGCATTATTAGTAACCACACAAAGAAATAAGTTGTGTTTACAGTGACTGATAAACAACCTCAAATAATTTGTCTGTGAATCAGAACACTGATCAAAACAACAGACATGCAAGGAAGCATTTTTCACAGTACTTTCCATTTGTCCTCTGTGCTCCACCTATCCATCACAGCTAATGGAGCTGTAATAATACATGCAGAACAACAGGAACTAGAAAGGTATTTTAGATCAAGTAATATTTTCTTCCAACTGGTTGCCCACAAGTCTGTGTGACTGAAATATATACAGGTGAAATTATTTCAGGCTGAAATGAAAGCTTCCATTATACAAACAGGGAACAATAGGTCTTTTGTGTTCTGCTTTCTGAGGTCTTCAGTTTTATTTTAATGCTAAGAGAGAGCACACAATGTCTCACAGACTTTGTCATCTTAATGAAAAACCTGAAAGTTTTCATTGGCTTTTTACTTACAATGAAACCTCATACTTACGTTGTAAAGGCTGGGTTTAGTTTAGCTCCAAGGTAGTAGGAGTACAGTATGAACATTCCAATCATAAATGCAAGAAATACCATAATAAAAAGGACCATAAACTTGAAGATGTCCTTAACAGTCCTTCCAAGAGAGATCTGCAAGGGCCCAAAACTCTCATTTGCAGGCAGGATATAGGCGATCCGAGAAAAGCTGAGAACAACAGCAATTGCATAAAGGCCTTCAGATATTATCTGAGGATCAGATGGGAGCCATTTATCTCTAGCTGGAAGATATGAAATACAGGGGTTACTCATTTATCAGAATCTTGAAGAATAAACCTTGATAGGACTTTTCCATTATCATGTCTGAATTTAGTTGAGACAAATATTTGAAGAGTCTAATAGATGCTGCTCTATTCCTTTTTCATTTAAGTAATAAATTAAGAATATGAGTTACATTGCCTTCTGTTAGAAGAAAAGTGACTTGAAGAAACATAACATTTTCTTCTGCATTTTGGCTTTTAACCTGAACTAGATAATAACAATTTCTTACTGCATTTTTAACTTGTCTGTATTAGCTACCTTAGCAAACACTGCGCTAAAGCTGGGAAATTTATTCCTATTTGGTGTTTCATTGATGGGCAGTTAAGTGCTGCCTGATGAACAATTTCATTTATTAGTCACACCAAGCTTTTGCTTTTTTGCAGGATATAACCTAGTTCCCACAGTGACCATAAAGACTTTTGCCAATTACCTCAAAAGAAATAGGATTGTGGGTTTTACACACAATGTGCACAGAAACAATTGAGTTATACAGAAATTCATAAATTACGATGTGAATTAATGCACCATCTTAGCAGAGCAACACTGAATTAAAATGTGTTTCATATCAAAATACCCTGTGTTTCTAAATGTGTATTTACATATGCACAATGGTTATATTCAGATATTATATTCAGTATACAATATTCAGATTAGTTATACTGCAATAAAGATAAGTAACAAGACCAAGTCTGCTGTTACAATATATCGAAGCCCATCCTAAAATACATGGTCAGTAGCATTTTCTTGTGTTGTTAATCACACCTTTATTGACAATTTCTGCATTGCAATAAATATTTTGTAGTTTTATTCTATTTAAATAGACCTTCACAGGGCCAGCATCCTTCCTTCAGGAGGAAATGCTGATAGATGTTTATGACCATGAATAACTATCAAACAACTGAACCAAAAAAAAAAAAGAGAAAGGAATCAGATCAACATTTCATCTGTTGTGCAACTAGCCAAGAATAAAATATAACCTCCAAATGTCTAAAATCAAGGGGGTCAAATTTAGCTTTATGGTAAAGAGAGGCTTCTAAATGCACCCTTCAAGCTTTCCTATGTTCAGATGTGTTTGGCAGAAAAACTAAGCTCACCATAAGTAAAATATTCAATTTCTGGAGGAAGTGTGACCTCAGAGAGGTCATTCTCCTCAATGTAGTTGTCCACATACTGTTGTGCTTTTGTGGCCTGAAGGAATGCCAGGAGTCTGGCTGTGAAAGCAGCAATAAAAATGGACAGCATTCCGAAATCCAGAACATTCCATAACTGCAAGATGTATTCCCTGGGTCCTTCCAGCCACAGCTCTTTGCATTCTGACCACATCATACCTGCAACAAGAAATGAAAAAGCACAGCAATGTTTGCCCAACCGTTGTCATTTAAATTCCCTGCATTCTCCCATTTCATGGAAGTGTATGATACCAGTGGAGCAGAGATTCACTTAATTGCAGTATCACAGCATCATCACTAAGGTTATTCTCTCTTGGTTTCAACACGGTTGATCAAATAGCAAGATATTGAGATTAATTAATGGAAATATAGTTCAGACATCACCCCACACAGGGTAGAGTAGAGCCTTGACTTTGCAGTGAAAGTATCGCGGCCAAACAACAAAACCTCTGTAATTCCAAAGGAGAAAAAATAAAGTGTGGGGGAAAAACATTCTCTTACTTTCATACCATTTATATTCCTAACCCACTTCTGAATCAGATGGTTTAATTTTTTCACAAGAACACAATTACCCAAAACCACAGATGACCAAATATAAAGGGCACATTATACTACTGTTTTTCCACTTTACAGAATAAGCTTCTTTTCAGCATAGAAAGTGGAATTTGGCTATGTGTAATTAGGTTTTCTCACTTAAACTTCTTGTCAGAAATTAATTTATGTGGATTTAATACAGATCACAGCCTCACCATAACCATGAGATGCAGCTGTTGTGAATCAATACTTTTTGCTTGATTCAAAGAGGCTTCTTAGGGAAAATAAAAACCCAACTAAAAGCAGAATCACAACCCCACAAACTTCTGTTTCTCTGGCTGTGTAATTCAAAAGGGCTGCTGCTGCTATCCCAACCACACTCAGAGCAGCCACACATTGGATTGGAAAATCCCAGTCCTTGCCTTCTGTCAAATAAAGAGAATAAGCTGGAACTCCCAAAAGGCAACATGCAAGTGATACTCACTCCCTACCCTGACACAATTTAGGATGAAGCAGTGCTTAAACCAGGAGATACAAATGATTCAAAATCTGTTCTAATGCCCTCTTACCTGCCCTAAGGGTTTATTAGTTGCTGCACACAGCAGCTGGATCAAAGCTTTGGGACCTGAGCTTCTCTCCTCCCTTTCAGAATTTCTATTTGCAGGAAAACAGGAAGATGAAGGGGCAATATACCTACCAAGAACCCACACCATGATCAGCATTTCTGTCCAGGTGAACTGGGTGGTCTTCACCCTAAAGATCTGCTTGGGGTAATCAGTAACAGTGACATTCGGCAGTGTCGTTATGCCCTCAAATCTGTCTGAAGCATTGAACACCAGCAGGCCTAGGAAAATAATGAAGGATGCTGCATGTGCCACAAATTTCATAAATGGGCTTCGAAGAATTCTTCCAAGCTGCAAAGGCAGAATGAAAGCAGTCACTCAATTTTCTCAAAGAAACACCAGGCATTCCAGAAGCATAAATGGGTACTCGGAGCTCAGGACAGCCAAAAACCTCATTCTTAAAGGATACTCTTCCAAGAGCACTCAGCTGTGCCGATTTGCCATTTCAGACAAAAGGCTCCCACAGGGAGCCTCACAGAGTATGTTGTTCTGTTAGTGAGTGCTCATGTTATTCCACAAATTCTAGATGGCAATGTTTGAGAGGAAACACTCCAAGGAATTGCAAATGTACAATGGCTGTGACCAGGAGGAGTTTCTAAAGCAAGCCCAGTGAAAGATAATTATTCAAATCTCCAACTCCAGCAAAAATTTTTCCCTAACAACAAGAGTATACTATTAACTTTTCTATAACTACAGCTATAGGAACAATTAGTTGTTTTCTTATCTCTGGTTACTGTATTTCATTCACAGAACACATGTTCAGAGCTCTAAGTGCCAAAATAAGTACCTATTTCTATCAAAACTACCGAATGTTCCACAAAACAGACTAAGAAGAATAAGATCAGAAATATTAGTGGTTTTTAAAATAAATTCAGTAGGTTTAATTCACATCTGCACCTAGTAAAAGAACAAAACAGCAGCAGTAGGGGCAGTCTGTCTGCACCAGAAGAGGGGACCAGCTGCTTCCGTAAGACCACATGAGCTTTCTTATTTCAAGGAATTGTTTTCCTTGAAATTTGGGTCAGCTACTATGAACTAAGCAAACCAGCAGACATTAAACCACGCTACTACCTGGGCAAACAATCTCAGGTTCCCTTCCTGCTCCTGACCTTTAGAAGGCATTTTGTAATTGCAATATCCAACCACTGACCTGAATGTATAGCACTTTAATTTGACATGAGCACTGAAGAAAAACATCAGATATTTCTGCTACTGGGAATTACAGCTCAAGGACAAATGTCTCTTTTCCATATTAGACACCAGTTAAAAATATATATTAAGATGTTCCTATTATATGGAGCTGTGAGGAATATATTTACTAAAGGTATTAATGGAAAGAGACATTTCAGAGGATAATGAGAGTAACAATTACACTATTTTCATAAAGGTTTATCTTCAAAGTAAATAAATATTTAACCCCGAGAAAAGATGAGGTTCCCTTCAAATACGTGGATGAGAAAAACCTTATCCTCTTTGAGATGAACTAGAAGAATGAAATATAAAAGAAACTCACATTTCTTTGCTTTACACTTGCTACGGAAATAAAATTAAAAGACCACATTCAGCACAGGAGTACATGTACTTAAAATTTTTAAAAATGTTAATGCAACAGAGAAATACCAAAGATCTATGAATACACCTGATTTGCAAACAATTCATGTGCTACAGACCATCGGGATTTCAAAGAAACTGCTGTTCCTTTCCTTGTGAGATCAGCAGGAAAGGAGGGAGCACCCTTACACTTTCACATATTTTTTAAAAGGTAAGAGTTCACAGCTGTGCTCTTTTACAAATACACCCCACTACATGGTCAGAATGATGTATTTAATTTAATTTCTGCTCTATGGTTCAGCTAGCAAACAGACCTCCTAGGGCTGGGATAACAAATATTTTACTTAAGATTAAGTTCTGCATCAGTAAAGTCAACAGATGTTCTGCTAATGGTTTATATGGGAACAGCATGAGACCTTAGGATGCCACCAGAGGAGACTTCATAAAGAATCTGAGTGGTGACTTTCAAAAACTCCATGTTACTAATATAATAAATTACACAGCAGATACAGTGAGGTGAGCATAAACTAGGGAAATTTAAAAAAGAAAAAAAAAGCTCTCAGAGAAGGTCATTTTTCTTTCCTTCAGTTTAATGTTAATTTATATTCATACTTCATTATTGTGGTTCCCTCTTTACAGTGCAAGTAACAAAAACCCCCCTAGCATCTTTTGGCGCAAGGTTAGGGATTGCTAAAAATATCATTAATTAGTTAGAATTTGGAAGCAGCAGAAGTTGCATGTTGACTGCCAGGAAAGGAAAAGCAGCTCTCAGAACAGCACAAGACACATAATTTATAAAATGCAGTACCCTGCTACATGGTGCAATCCAATAACCAATGGCTAGAAAGGGAAGGCCCAGTGCCACAACCAGCACCACCAGACACTTGATAGCTATGGTCTGCTCCCGTAATCCTGAGAGATTTTCATACCAGATTGTCAGTAGCTGTTGCTGACAGTTTGGATGGGCCACAAACTGCAAAGAAAATGAAAAAGAAAAAAGGCATGCTGTCATTAATAAGAGTTACATAACATGCACAACTGCAATCACCTGAAGTCTAAATTAACACCAGATATTTAAGAACCATGGCCTTTTTTCTCATTCCCTTTAAAAAAAAGTTAATAAGAAACTGCCACATCACAAGAACATGGGGGCACCAGCTAAGCACAAGGGTGAAGCAGCCTGGTTTTCACAGCAGTTTGAAGAAATCTGGTAATACACTTACTAGTAACTAGTGAATCAGAATAAAGAAGGCTAGGTGTTTCACAAAAAAGAGTTTGAAAATAAACCTGATAACTGATAATTTGTGTTGGGTTAAGAGTGAGATTTGACATCAGTTGGTTATACTCTGGAAAAAATAATGAAAATACTGTAAACGTTGGATACCCATTTTATTATCCCTTGTACTCTGCAGAGATCATTATGTACTACATACACTGTTGTTTGCCAGGTCTTGCTTGCAAAACTCTATTAATATTCCAAATCTCATTAAAAAGTGCATAGAGTAGTACAACAGGACAGACTTTTTAAAGAAAATCAAATTAAATCATTGGCAATGAAAACAGGGAACCTTAAACCTTTCAAGAAGAGCAGTCTGAAGGTGCTGCACAAACTTTAAAAAGGGAGGCAATCTTCATACTTTAATCTGCTTTGCTGTAAAATTAAAGTCCCTAAGCATTTTGGTGTGTGCTGCATTACTTCACATATTAATGCAGTTTGTACATAAAGTGGAGTGGCCAAGAGAAATAAATAAAGAGATTGTAAAAAAGTTCTTTAAGAAATTAATGTCAACTCAAACTGCTTCTGTTCCTTTTATTAGGCTGTCACCTTTGAAGCTTATGCACCATAAAAACTGCCAGCCTGGCCCATTTGAGAAGAAGAGATTGGGTTTTTGTGTGTTTGTGTGTTCTGACATATGCCCCCAGCCTCTTCTTCTGCTAAGATAAATTTCATTGTCAACTCAGGACATCAAAGGGACAAATCCCACAGCAGATTAACTGCGGACAAAGGCAGGAAAGTAAATAATTATTTCAAATTACAAAGACATTTTTAAAATCAGGCTTAAAACTGTAGGGAAGAGGAGGGAAGAAACACCCACATCATTCCTTCTGTTACCACGGGGAATGGGAAGAAACAGTAAAGGAGCTTTAAGGAAGTTTACCCAGGGCTGCAAATCAGCCCATGGGCCCTGTGGCACCTCATCCAGAGCTCTGTGCTGGTTTATTCTCCTGATCTATCAACATTTTGATCTGACACTAAGAGGAGATCTGCTATAATTTCCAAAAAAAATTTAAAAAAAGGAAGACTTAGTGAATAAAATCCCAAGAGTTATGGGCAAGATCTTCTCTGGCAGTGAGTCTAAAGGCTCTTGAGAGGATCATAGTGACTTATTTAACTGCTGGCAACTGCACAATGTGTACTACTTCCAAGCCCTCAGAGCAAGTTGTGTCACTTTTCATCCATAAAAGCTCTGAAATTCATCCCTCCTCTCTCAGTCTTTACTGAAATACTTCAACTTATGATTATGTTTATTTTCAGCAACTTTAAACTTTGCCCACCCCTGCTGCATGTGTGTCTGTATTACCTGTATTTGCCTGCAGCTTCATCTCCTCCAAGGACAGTAAGCTCACATCACATTTTACCCCCTGCTCACAGCATCCTATAACCTTGTTCTTCCTGCATTTCTCCTTTCACTCTATTTTCCATGCAGTTTCTCACTTTTCATTACATATGCTGAACTTATTATCACATGTATCTAATACTTTAATCTCCAGGAAGAACCTCAGTGAACAAAAATGATGCGTGAGAACTGATCACTAAAAGAAAAAATATCCCAATTTTAATGTAGATGTTTTTCCAAGCATAATTGACAGTAACACTTCTGATGTTTTCAGTTTCATGACCGTGAATCAAGTCATCAGTATGTAAATATTTTTCTGTATGACTCAGAGTGATTATGTTATTTATTTCTGTCACCATAATGGCTGGGTTTAGATGGAGCGAGAACAAATCCTGGCACACTCTGATACTAACACACAAAACACAAAGAGAATTTTGCATCTTCTTTCTTATCTATCAGCTGATATTAATTTCACTTGGAAATTCCATACTGATTTTTGTCTCGGCAAGAACTGCAGATTAGTTGGGCCAGTATTAGCTCTTCTCTGGAATTTTGTTGGCAATCTAAAGACAGATTTGAGACACAAAACTAAAAGCATCAATTCAGCATACAGAGCAAGACTAATTTGGTGGGGTTTTTTTTCTTCCCTCCCTTAATTCCCTTAGTCCTTCTCTATTGGGGCTGCAGTTCCAGTCTGAACCTTAGCTTCAAAATCACATCATGTTTAAAAGATGGGCTCCACATTGCTGCAGTACCTAGGGCATTAGGTGCAAGAGTTTCATTACTAATAAAATTAAAAACTCCCTTTCCCTAACACTGAGGTTCTGAGCACATTTGCTACTTGTTATATGTTTTTCCTGCCTCTCCACCCTCTGGACAGGGCATAGGCTCATTGCCTATTTCATGGACCTGCTGCTGCTCTGTTTGGCTGCACTGCTGGCAACAGGGAACTGACCTTGATGGACCTGACCTGGAAGCACAGCTAGAAATACAGAAAGCTAAGGAAATAGGCCACATCCTTGTCTGCTTCCTGTGGTGAGAGGGTTGAAGTAGTCCCATGTGGTGTTCCCACAACTGAACCTGTTCCAGTCAGGATATCACTAGAATCTGTCACAGCTCTGACAGGGCAAATCTCATCATGAAAGGACCACCATGGCAGAGACATTTCCATCCTTGCCATGCCCTGTGTAATGGCCACTTCCAGGGAACTGCACATGTATGAATATGGTAACAACTCTGCACCATCTATTTCCTCCCAACAAGATCATTCCTCTTGTAGCTTCCAACTGTATTTGTCATGAACTGCAGCCAGCACTCTGAGTTTCTCTCTTGCAAGAGAAGAGAACAAGTTTGCTATGAGGAATTATCTCTTTTTTTTGTTTTTTATTATTCAGATTTCTGCTATTCTTAACAGATCTGTGTGGCCCTTTGCTCAGCAGTGAATTTCATCAGTGACAACAAAATCATAAAAGAAAACCACAGCCTTCAGCGTGAAAGCTGAGACACAAGCATCAACAAAGTTTTGGTACACATTACACTGCAATAGCATAAAGAAGTACATATTTAGAAACTAAAGCATGCTTATGCACTTTGATTTTTTTCCCCCAGTTCCAGTCTTTTAAACTAATTTAATGCTTGTATATATTTACCTTGATTTTTGGCAATTAATATGCATTTATCTGCTGTAGACCAATCCTTTACTGGAAATTATTATTTGCTGCTTGGGACCTGTGTTTACAATTTTTATTATCAATCTTTTGGGGCCGTCATAAACAACAGCAATCCCCAGTTGCTCTGGCAGGGTCCTTACAATTTGTTTTATATGGCAGATTGGCTCAAGAGGTGGCCACAGAACACAGGGTTATTTATTCTGAGAGACACAAGGCTTCTTGTGGAGATGATGAAACTATAATGGCTGCAAGGAATGGAAGTGATGCTAATCATATAAATAGGTAGCTGTAAATAATACATAGGCACTGCTGTATTTCCTGGCTCCTCTCACAACAGGACACAGTATTAACTCTTTTCTGTGCTAGCCTAATGTGGGATCTTGAGGAGAAGAACCTAGCAATACAATCAGAACTATGGTTAAAGGATATGTATTTATGTCAAACGTGTGATGCACAGCTCCATTTTTCAAAGCATAACATTCATTCACAAAATACAAACTACTTTGAGAGAGACATCTACTGAAAATGCTTGCCAAACACCAATAAACACAGCTACAAAGGTGAAGAACTGAAATGAACTGATCAAGCAGCCACAGACATATTCCATGCACTTCCAGGGCTGAGTTTTAAAATATTTTTAAAGGAACAAGCATGGTAAATGACGTGGAATTTCTCACTACAACCCGCAGATGCAGAGGAGTTACTTATGGGTTGAAACCAACACTTTGACCAACACAGACTTCTCTCTGGAATAAGTATTACTGCATTGACTGACAGAAGGCACAGCCTGAGTGTCACTGAGTGAAAATCTGCCTCTACTGAAACACCTTTTGGATTAATCAGGAGAGGGATCTGACCAACTGTGCAAAGCCTGGTTAGCACACCTCATTTATGCCATTACAATCTCCTGCCACTTCTCAGCGGTGGGAAGTAGATTAAACTAAACTCTTTCATTACAGTCCCCTTCTGCCTTGTGAGAGTCTTGATTACTCACCCCATGTCTCACTTGTGCATCTGACCAGGGGGTCACAACACCTGTGGAAGGAGGAGGTGGCACTGCCCTCCTGCCAGAGTGCCTGAGAGCTGTGAAGAGTTACCTTTTTGACCTCGTACTTAATGGCCAGCTTGACGCGGCTCAGGGACGCCCGGTGCCTCTGCGCTTCCAGCGGCTCTGCGTTCACATCCCCGTTCAGAATGGCCTCCACCTCTTCCGAGTCCCGGCACAGATCCAGGACACCAACCACGAAGTCCTTGCACTGCATGGACAGCTTGCGATAGTCGTTCTGGAACAGGAGGGGGGACAGAAAAAGGCCTGTCACAGATGTGCTTAAGAGTCAAGGGTGAGGAGAAAAGGACCCGTACAAATTGATAAAAATGAAGTGTTTGATTTTTACCGTGTCAAGTTCAGAGTATATCACATATTACAGAACCATTCATTCTCTGACACAAGGTGAACACCTTGTTGAACAGAGCATAGGAACATACATGTTCCCATGTATCATTATATCAAAATAACCTGAATGAGCAACAAGGGGCAGCTGAAAATATAAGAATTTCGCAAACAAAGCAGGACCAGGACTATTAAAAAAGTAACTTGATTCTTGCAAAAAATTTGCTGACAACTAATGAAATAATTGCCTCTGAAGCTACAAATATCTTTTAGCTCTTTCTACACTGCTTAAGTGGCTGACTGCTCATTGCTCTGATGTACACCAGGTACACTTCCCCCTTTTTCCTTTTCCACCCTCTGCTTCCCACCTTCCCTTGGAAGGTCTCACACACAATTGGCACAGTGGGTTACAAAGCAGTTGCATAGAGTAACTACAGGACAAACTTGGACACCAACACTGTGGGCAAAATACCCCAAATTTCCTCTAGGAGTGCTCTGGAAAGAACAGGAGAATTCATCCTCCATACCTGTTCAGTCTTTCCAAGGACTATCGTATATGTCAACATTAAATATTTGCTTCTCTCTAATCTTCTTCCTCCTCTGACAAAACATTTGTGGCTGCCTTTCAGAATTTTTAGCTAATTCAGTAAAGCATGCACATCTGAGATCTTGCCTGTACTTTTGTCTATACTTGTAAATGTCTCCCACCACCTCTGTGACATTACCAATAAACTGTTATCTTGATCTCTGCTTCAGCACAAACCTCAGTCTTCATTTTTGTATCCATTAGACTCAGACTTCTAGAATTTCCATATCTGAGAGGTGGCCTCTGATTTCCTCACATGAGGGTACAGCTAGAGGAGGAAACTTGACTGAATCTTCCAATTTTACCTTCAGTACCCAACTAGAAACAGCACAACCACCTTTTTCAATTACTCCATAGCTTTTCTTCAGGTTCTTTTTTTCCTCCACCAGGCCAATAAAACACTACTTTGAGCCCTCTGCCTCTCCATTTTGTGTGTTTCACTGTTCATTTCCAGATATTGCCTTTTCAAAATCATTTTGAGGGTGCAGATTTTCCCTTAGAGGTGCCTGTCTTCCCAAAAATGTTTCCTTACTGCTTTTGCCCTCATAATTTTCTCACTTAATATTTTTTCTTTTTTTTTTTCTTTTTTTTTTTTCTGAAACCCTTACTTTTTCTTTCTGTCCTAAGTAATTTTATCTCCTTGTACTGGTAGTTTTGCTAAATTTTCAACTCAGCATCTATATAATGGGACAGAGAAGCTACTGTGCTCTCAGTAGTTTCAAATTATTTTGGGAAATGACGGGAAAAGAGGCTGCATAGGGTAAGTGCAAGAATCAGCCATCAACCCCACAGGTCAGATTCAGATATGAATCAAAATGAAACATTACAGGAGACAAACAAATACTCCTAGAAATTGTGTTATTACACAAGACTAACATCCCTGATATGGACTTGGAAACAACCAGTCCTAATCATAGACCTTAAACAGGATCCTGTTATTTCCTTTGGTCACAGAGGACAAATTAATTCAGTGTCAGTGAAGCAACAGGATGTAAGGTTATTTTAGATTTGTTTTTGGTAACCAAGGAGAAAAGGACAGAAGAGCCAAATGTAAAAATAATACTGGGATGTGTGATTAAATTCAGTGAAGGGATAAGTAAGCTTATGTATGACCAAGATTTAGGAATCTGAAAAAGGCAAAGTCTCATAAAAAAGCTAGCTAATCAAGGGAGTGAAATATACTTTCCAGCATGGAGGTCTGAATGCAGACAGAGCTTTTACATGAAATGTGATTAGATTGTGACAATACAAAGGAAAAACCCTGCAAAAGAAGACTCCAGGATGATGGCTAGAAAATAGCAGCAGTCAAAAAAATAGGAAAACAACAAAGAGGAACAGTCTTTCATGACAGCCTAGTCAAGAAAGAGCTCCATCACAGAGGCCAAAACTCTTAAGTATATAACTGCTAGAATTCAGGTTATGGACAACATTAAGCAGAGCACCACGAGGTGACACAATGTAAAAAGAAGATGGGGATTTTATTCACTGAAGAAAAAGGAGTGACTGAAGACAATCTAATAAAGCTGAAAACAATACCATGCTTTCAGTTTATTCAAGTCCTATGTTGTTGATATATTTAGTAATTATTTTGTGAAAAAAATATGTGAGAACTTGAACACTCTTCCTTAAGCATCAAGCAAGAGTTGCTTACACATTTCACTACAGCTAAAGGAAGTACTAAAGGAGGTGGCTGAGCAAAAGCCATGAAAATCATCAGACACAGCTTAACATTAATTCAACAGGAGTAAGACTGATAATCAACTTTTCTCTAGCAGTTCAAAGTAGCTGTAAATCCATTGTTCTAAGAACATGGGAGGATAAATTTTCTGCAGTGACTTCATAAATAATACAGCATAACTAAAAGAGAAACTACATTCTTTCTCACCTGAGGTTCCAGGCACTTTTAACTTCACCAAGACAAAAAAGAAGTATTTGTTTTACTATTATTTGTATCTAACCTACAGTCTAAAGTGTTATCTTATTAAGGTTTAACAAAGTTTAGTTGAGATGGTTTTGTATTATTCAAGTGCTTTACAACATAACACAACCCAAATTTTGCCCTTGTATGAATGAACATGGGCTATCCAGTTGCAGGGAGAGGCTTCAATTACAAAGTGTTTTCTCATTATTTTGCAAATTGTGAAGAAATAGAAGAAGAAATAGTGGATTTCTAATAGTTAGGAAATAACAAGAGCTATTTCCATGCTTTGCATGTTTGCCTAACACAAGAGTTACCCAGATTTGTTCTAACAGCAGTAGAATAACAGTAGAAACATGAATGCCAGGTTTCTTCATTGGTAGATGCACCACTTGCTTATAAAAATTATGTTTATTGCCAGATAAGATTAACGATATAATGGAAGAGGTTTAATTCTGTCAAATTTAAGGATTAAATACAGCCTACATTATTCACAAATGCTGTTATGAGAACTGCAAAGTACGTGCATTCTTAATATCCCACTCTGGCTTTGAATCTTGTAGCAGGAAAATTTGTCAGATTTCCCTCTCCAGGTCTTTATTTACCTATGTATTAGCAAATCAAATTTATCCCAGTCTATCTGATTGCTTTACAGAATTAAACAGACAAACAGCACCTGATTCTTAAACAACCTTCTACCTCTAGGGTGTTGTGTGAACATCAGAAATTTTAATCTATGGTCCCTGTCATCCAAATCACCTCTACTCACTCCTGAGAACATACAAATGAAGCCACCAGATCAACACTGACTAACAGTTGCACAAACATCTTTGTAACATCAAAAAATACCAGCCTACACCCTGCATTTCCCAGGTTCCGCAGGTGACTCCAGCACATTCAGGGCAACTGCCGACGTCTGGAATTGCAAAGCTGTGTCTCACAAGCAGTTTCAGAGTACTCTGACACACATCAAAAGCTGGATCTCAGCCTGCCCAAATTTGTGTGTTCTGTTCTGACTCATAACATCAAGCACTGCCCTGTGAATTCATCTGGAGTCTTGACAAAGGTGGTATCAGTCTGTGTGCAAAGAACAAAGCGCATGAACAGAAAACCTTCAGCTGACTCCACTCAAGATTTGTAACCACTGCAAAGCAAATTTATACTGAGCAATCACATGCAGCCAAAATGTAGGGATCTGTGTTCTGTTAGAGGAGTGTGGCAAGCACCAAAATTCACGAGCAATGCACAACTAATTCACAGTCATCATACTTAATCATAAATTTATGTTATTATCTGGTAGACAGCCACTTGGAAATCACACAGATGGTGAGTCTGCACATGTAACTGTATATGCAAAGAAAGCACGTAATTGCACTAATGGTTATGGATCTGGGCCCTGTCCTTTCAAAAGCTGAGCCTAAACCTAGATCAAGCTTTAACACTCTTTGTTAGTTCAGCTGAGACAACACTATGTAAATTTACTTGGAACACTGACAGATTCTGCTTTTAGATGCACGTCCACATCTTCCGTTGGTTCAGTAGGAGCTTTTAGCAAAACTGAGAACAGGGATTTATCCTACAGAAAAAGCAGGACTACAACCTTTTTGATCCTTGCCAGAGCAATTGCAGCTGGGAGAACTCAGCTTGCTTAGACAGGACAGTATTTAGTTGAAAGCTGGTATAAAGAGATAACCACAGTGGTTTTTTGCTACTTTGTCCTCTCTCTTCCTATGGTGACTCCAATGGAAAGTTCCATCAGCTGTTCTGACTGCCAGAAATCCTCCCTTCCCTGGGCAGTAACAGCTTTAAAGTTCTCAGGGAGGTGGGTGAACATCAATTCACTTTAGTAACCCAACCCTGTCATTCCCCAAGCCAAGTTGCAGTGGCCATGGTCTGCTAAAAATAGGAGAACAGGAAAACATAAAAATCGGGAATATTTGTATTGTGATGTATTTTGTGGTGCTACTGGAAAGGAGAAGGTAATTCTCCAACTATGGTAATGGTCACTTTTTTACATTAAGACAAGATACACTTCCAGGTTTTACAATTTGGTAGCATTGGTCACCAAGATCAAACTGAAATTCCTGATGTCATCTGAAAACCTGCAGGCAATCCCTGGAATTAGGAGACTAGGAACACCAAGTAAAGTCAGAGTCAAATACTGTACTCTCTGCCCTGGCCATGATAGAATTGAATAGAAGACTACATGGGAAGAAGACAAGTGGATACAAAGATCAAAAATGAGTAAAAGTGTCAAGAAGAAATAAATATAACAGACGAAGAGCAAAAGGACAAACAGCAGGTTGAAACAAGGATTTCACAATTGGAAGTAAGGAAGCTTGGAGATGAAAGGAGTAGAAAGAAATGGTCTTTAGGGCTCCAGTTTCCTCATCTATTTTTATTAATTTTCAGTACTTTTTTTTTTTTGGCTAGGTGTCTTGCAACTTCCAAGAAAAATAAGGGCTCCATGGTTTCTTTGAATCCTTTTTCCTTACTTCTAAAAGGGAAATAAAACAAAACCCTAAAAATCAGTGTGATTAATCAGGTTTTCCTGAGGAACTAACTGTCATGAATGAATGGCCGAAGTCACCTTCCCACATTTCTAATTCACTTGTGCAAACCCTTTGGTTTGTGGTTTGTGCATTAGAATTTCTTAGTGTAAATGACAAGCAAGAAAGGCAGACTGGACTTTGCATACGCAATGGATGTTAGGTTCAATTTAACAAGCATTTACCAGGAAACTTGGCCTTCAGGTGTTTTGAAACAGGTTCAACCTATGCTCTTTCTCTGTGGGAAAACCACCCAGAATAGCATTTTCTGTAAGAATGCTCTGCATTCTGGAAGCAGAGCACACACAGGAAACATCGTGGGCCTTAATATTCCATAGATACTGAGAATAAATCATTATTTAAACAGATTTGACCATTTTTTGGTTGTGAGAGAGATGAAGTATTTTGCCCATTTTTCTCCACCCTGAAACAACTCTGCTCCGTGCTGCACTACAGATTGAATTTCAGTGGAATACTCGAGAATTTCCAGTCATGATCCCAGAGGACAGTGCAGCAGGAGTCTGCAGGAATGCAAATGTTGGATTAGAAGCCTTCTCTGGGATGTGACAAAGCACACAAGTTATCAGCCAAACACCTTCAGATGACAGATCTGTAGGGAAGAAAGCACTGACAAGGGAGTTACAGATGGGAGGAACTCCAGGGAAACTCAGCTTGATAGAAACAGAAGAAAAAAAAGAAATGTGACGTCAATGAGAAGAGTAATTACTTCACTGGAATGTTCTGACGTTGATGAGAAGCTGGAATTTCCATGCCAGCAGGGAGTCAGGAACAATTTTTACTGTAGATGCCAAAACCAAATCATCTGATACACCTGGCAAGGTTAGTAGGCATTGAAATGCTATCCAAAAATACTGAAATCTGTGAAAACGGTGAATTAGTGAATTTCTTGGGGTTTAGGCATCCCAAAATAGCAGGGAATTACCATTTTAAAAACTGAAATAATTTTTTAAAGCTCTGGTTTGAAATGAAAAGCTCAATCAAAAAACTTCACCTTTTCTCCTCCAAAATTTCAAGCCACTTTTTTTTTTTTCTGATGAAATTTGTATGCATGGTATTAGTACCTGTGAGATGGGAGTCTCCCATGAATTTCTATTTCCACTGTAATTTTTCTATGCAATTCTCATCATCTACATCCTTGCCTCACAGCGCAGCTTGCCCTCATTCAGCTTTTGGAGGCAGGCTAGCTTTTCCTCTGAGGAAAAAGGAAAATCTGGCATTTTCCCCCAAATAAATACATCAAGGAAGTATTCAATTAATTGGCCAGGTTACACAATACACAGCATTATATGAGCAAGTTCCTTCAACAAAGAAAGGGAAGGAAGGGTTAAAGCTGATTTTTACATTTCATCAGTGTGTGCTATAATACATTAATCCTTCTCACCACTGGACATTTATTTTTAAATTCCATTTTAACTCACTCAGCTGAATATGGACATATTCTTCCTCTTCTGTTAAATTTCACTTGGTTAATTTCTGCTTGTCTTTCTCCAAGTTGTCACATATTCCTTCTGAGTATTCCACGGGGTAAGCAGTGTTTGATGGTGTTTGGAGAGGTTAATGCAGCTTTTGTCCCTCTCAGATCATTTTTGAAGATATTAAGCAAGCAAGTGGTACCCAATACTGGCCTTGCAGAACCCCAACAAAGTTGCTGCTACACCCAGAGACAATGCTGTGAATATCTCTACCCACTGAGAGCAATCTGTCATTCCCCACGCCAAGCTTTTCTCATTACAAGCAGTCTACTGGGGTTTGATTTTGGTGAGGTTTGGCTGCAGGGGGAGAATGGGAACAAGAGAAAAGGTGGCTGTTATGGTCCTTTTCAAGCTTTTTCTGTTTCCAAGTGAACAGAAAAAGCATTAAAAAAAGCACTGGGCAACAGTCAACTAAGCCATTAATTGTCAGAGGGAGAAGCTGAAATATATAAAGAAGTCAGGGCACTGACACACAAAACCAGATACAGCTGAAAACCAGGTAAGAGGACCAACAGCTGAAAGCAGTCAAACAGCTGGTTTTGAACACGTGACATTCCTAAAAGGTGCATCCAAAAAAAATCCACTTTGGGTATTTTTAACAATTTGGAGACATCAGTCAAAATTGGTACAAATTAAAAAGAGGGCATAAGGTCAGTGCTGCAGTGTCTCCAAGAAAAGCAAAATGTTTCTGCTTTTGCACTTATATTATTCAGAACTTGTAACTAAGAACAATCCTTGTCTGCTGCAACAACAAGAATTGTTTTCCATCTGCTGCAAGGTTACCAGAACGCACACTTTTTCCAGTTTCCAATTTCACCAATTTTCTCCACACACAGCAGGTGCAAATGCAATTTCATCCATTAAAAATTCCTTCTAAAGGCTTACGTATCAAGAATAAAAGAGACAATAAAATGAGAGTATTTGTAATTGAAAAAGTAAAAGCACAGGGAATCATTTCAGCATCTAAGGACAACATAAAGTAGCAGCAATTTTAAAACAATAGCGAAGACAGAAACACAAAAACATTACTTTGAATTCTTTTTCAATGTTGGCCAACTTGGCAAGTTCATTGCTGAGTTCAAGAGCAGTGAGCACTGGATCTTCACTGGAGAGGGACAGATAAGCCGGACTGGCCAGTCCTTTGTACGCATTTATTCTTGACCTAGAGTGACTGAAAGAATCATGTTTTTGCTTCTCTGTACAGTCATTACATTTGCAGAAATAATCATGAGGTCTTTCTATCCTCGCTCCTTTCATCAACAGCATGTGCACTACTTCGTATTTTTGGCAGTGGGCGGCTAAAATGATGGGAGTGATGTCTGGAGAAAAGCGGGTACCGTCTTCGTCATAGGAATAAAAATCATCATCCTGGAGCTCCTGCTCACAAGGGCTCAGAGTCAGTCGCTTATTTACTGAAAACCCAGGATGATTCAAAATTGCTTCCACTATCCTAATGTAACCCTTGCTGATTGCGAGCAGCAGGGCATCTCCAATCCGTGCCAAGTTCTCTTTTTTTAACAGAAGTTCTGTCACTTCCAAATGTTCATTCCCCACAGCAAGCTGCAAGGCGTTTTGGCCCATGTAGTCAACGCAATTGACATTCAGTGTCTTTGACTCCTCCAGCATCTTGCGCACCACGGGGATGTTCCCGTACTCGGCAGCGTCCAGGAATCGCTCCTCCTCGGCCGTCAGGCTCGTGCCCCTGTTGTTGAACATGAAGGCCGGGCCCCGGATGGCCTGTCGCCTTCCCTTCTCCCTCATCATGGTCATACGCCTCAGGGATGGGCTCTCTTCGATGTACCTAAGGACAAAACACGGAAGAGGTAACACATTTTCACTCGGGTGGTAATTTGTAACTTCCAATCCTGTGGCTGCAACAACTCATTTTGTCCCTTGTCCATTCCCCATTTCCTGACAAGCAGTATCCTGTACTGGGATTGCTCTTGCTTGTCTGCAATCTAAAGGCACTCACAGGCTCAGTGCCTCAGGCCGCTGCTGTTCTCTTAGCATGGTCAAGATTTATTAACATATTTTATTTCCTTTTAAGACATCGCTCCTCTTCAGAAATCCCTCCTATATATAAAATGAAAACTCATCTACTATACTGCTGTCAGTAGTAATTAATATTATCTATCACAGGCATTCAAGCTGATGGTATAAGTAAGGCAATACTTAATGCTTACCATGTTGTAGATCACATAAAAGTGAGGTGAAAACACATTTTCTTCAGGATGTCTTGCCAAGCAACACATGATGAAGCCTGATAACAGCTTCTTGTGTTACTACTAGAAATGTTAAACCAGGAAGCTTCTGCTCACAAGTCACTTTGGTCAAATTACAGATTTTTGGAAAACAATACTACATACACGCTCAGCAGACTTTCTGCAACTAAACTGCTCACAGGTTCCAGACACCAGGAGTCATCCAGCACAGACTGGGTTCAACTCTCACTCCAGTTGACTCCTGTAATGCTGTGGATTGTGTTTGGTCTGTTTCTACATCACCCATTTCAGGAGCTGAGAGGGTCTGTGTCTATATTCTTGTACCACAATAAAAAAATGGGAAAGTCAAAGAGTTAATGAATGGAAACTGGGATAAACTGCTGCACTAGAAAGAGGAAATATGGGTGTAGGAAAGTGAGATGTTTTAAAGAACCAGTGAACCCATGAACTCTTCACAGAAACCAGTTGCAAAAGAAGAAAGAGGGAAAAAAGAGAAGGGTAACAGGTGAAAAGAATGGGTGAGCAAGCTAATTTGGCAAACACAGAAACTGGAATTATAAACCAGTGAGTGTACTGAGAGAATAGGCAGATTGGATGCTGAGCTGGATCTAGCAAGGCAAGACAACAAGAGAGGGGTAGCGAGGTTCAGAGCAGTGAGACTGGACAGAAATGGCAAAGAGAAGGGACCTAGGATGAGAGGCTGAGGAGCAGACACTGCCTAGCTGGAGAAAAAAGTGGCAGGAGACAACTGCCTGGCAAGATCTGAAACAACAGAATGGATGGGATCAGGCTGCAATGGTCACAGCTGGGAGAAGAACAGAAGCATTTGTGCCTGCTGGAGCAGAGGCCAAAGGCCTGAAAATGTACTCAGGATAGCCTAACCTTCCCTTCCTCACCATCTGCATATAAACATGAAACCAGTCAGCAATCTCTCTTGCCTTTTCTAGTCCAGCTCAACAGTGAGCAAGGCAGCCTGCAGCTGCTGTCAGTTAATCCAGTAGCTCGAGGGACAGAGATCACTTTGGATGATTCGATGGGCATGGGGACACCAAGTGCTGCTGATAAACAATATGACTTAATGGAGGGTGTGCTTTGAATACATATAAACACTAGATAGATACATATACTTATATAAATATACACAATACATAGAGATAAAGAAGTCTTTCAAGTTCCAAATTTGTTTCTTAGGTCCTATGTGCCTCTGTTCCTCATCTGTAGAAAAAAGAACAGTTGGCTCCCATCTTACAGGAGCATTGTGAAAATTAATTTTTTTTTTTCACTTTACTGGAAAACTCAGACACAGGAGTAAGAGGCCAGACAGAAAAACTGAAAAGGAAATTAATCCTTCTACCCTCAGTGCATTAGAGGAGATGTGAGTCCATGTAATGAATGCCAAGGGCAAACCAAAATATTAAAAAGCCCTTTGTAAGCAAACCCTGTCAGTCTGCAAAAAAGATAGAACCAACGGAAAAATGCCACAAGCACCTTTGGGCATGCAAGGGCTCTGCATTAAAGTGGACACAGTAGCACCTGCGTGGGCAGCTTGGGAAGGTAAACACCCAAACTGCTGCAGGTTCAAATCCACAGAGAAAGAGCCTCCTAAGTGCTGGTGGGGGTTGATTTCTGTGGGTGTGGTCTGTCAACAACGAGCTCTGTTGCTCTGTTGACACCGCACAAAGTACACCCGCTGCCATCACTGGATACAGCACTGCCAGCCCTAGGAGTTTTCACTGGGCATAACTAATTCCATTCAGGTTGTAAGGACAGGCCTGCCCTTCCAGCTATCTACATCAACATGTACAATCTTAATCACTTGATCACAGCTACAAACATCCTAAAACCCAGTCCAAGCCCTGAGCATTTCAGTGATCACAAATGGGCAGCTCAGCTGCACACCAAGCAAAGAAACTGTGAAACTCATTAGCAAGGGCAGGTCTCTCCTGGGATGAAACATTTGATCTTTTTACCTTGTTAGCTGCGGCTGGCATTTCTGGACTACCTGAAATAGCCTGAGTGGCACCACAGTATAAGCAATGCTAACTACTATTTACTTTCTGGAAGAAGTGGCAAAACTGCTCTGGCAAACACAACATGATCCTTTCCCCCCCCCCCCCCACTTCTGTACCACTTGCTTTAAATCTATAAAAAAGGCTGCATAACAGAGAGGATTTGTAACTCTGTTAAACACAGAATTGATTTAATGTCTTAAACCTCAGGCATATTTCCCACTTAGGAGTACTCAGAAATAAAGGCTTGAGCTCAGAGCGCACACTGTGAACAGCCACGGTGCGCTGCTATCTTATTCCCCAGCAAAATCAGGAGTAAAACCAGAAACCTCGTCTTCTCATAGTTTCTTTTTAAACAAGATCTTATTGTCTTTTTTGCTGTTACACTTCCACTCATCCTCCACATCCAAAATCACACAGATACAGAAATGTAGTGTTTACTGAAATGTTGTAAAGAAAAAAATTATAGCTATTAAAAATGTAACACAGACAAAACAAATTGACTCATGCTGACCTCTTGCTTTAAGAAGACTCTAAACTGCCACTTTGAATCTCATTTATCTTTTATGAAATACACAATACATTTGTTCTTATATACTCAGTTTAATTTTTCAGCATATTTTGAAATACGACATTTATTTTCATTTTATCTACCTTCCTTTCAAACACCACTATCTGGGTGATCACTGAGGTGATTCATCTGACTTCTGCAGAGACACACACATCCTTTAAAAATTGTCCTTTCAAGAGTGGCTTCCTAGGAAGGAAGATATCCTTAACTGTAAACCTTGTGACAGAAATTATGTATCTGAAGTGACTGCAATACCTTCTCAAAATAAAGATGCATGATGCTTGGTATTTTAAAGACTAAAATATTGTCAAGACATTTCCAAAAAAATGAAAAGCAAAAAATCTTGTGCAGCACCACAGGGCCATGAGGCTGCTGTGTTCATCCACACTTCTCCCCTCTTTTCTTCCACTTTTCCCTCAAATATAAAGACCTTGAAGCCAGCATAGCTCTGGTCAGAGTAATGCATGCAACAATAGGGTACAAGGTCTCCTATTCAATTTTCTGCTTTCCTTTTCTTACATCCAATATTTTAGCTATCCCAAAGAATGAATAAAATAGTTAGAATTTTAGTTTTAAGTGTTTGACTTTTTCAGCATATTTTATAGGTATTATTTGCCATCTGAAATAATCAAACCAGCAAAATCTCAAGTTGCATCTCTCAACATCATTAGACTGGCTTAAAAATATTAAAATAGAACTAAGTGTGCAGTAATTACTTGTGTTCTCTTTACAAAGCCTTTAAAGTTCAAATAGTCAGCCTTGTCTCTGTAAGGTGTTGACAACCTACATTTAAAAGAGGGAGAGATGGAAATCATGATGCTCCTCTTCCCAACTGTTTCAAACAGTTGAAAGTACACATACACAAAACCATAAAAATGTCTGTAGAATGCATGGCAAAAAAAAAATCACGAAAGAAGCAAGTAAGAAAAATGCCCAATTATTCTGTATTAATTAGTCACTAGAGATAAAGAAGGATGGAACTGGAGATCAGTCATGTTAACTGAATGAAGCACACCTGTCCCACCACATCTGGACATGCTTCACTTGGCCCTGAGCCTGCAGCAGTTAAGCAGCTGTTTTGAGGAACTCAAAAACTTCACTGAAAAGAAGGAAGAATGTCAGGGACTGTACAGCAGCCTTCAGGATCACTCATTCCTCAGCTCTGCTTTGCAGCAGTACTCCCACACGAGTGAGGCCAAGGCTCCTAAAAGAGCACATCACCTTTCAAGGCCTTTACCTAATGATAAGCATCACAAACTCTCAGACACAGCAATGTTGTGTGCACTCTGAACAATTAATTGGTTCATTACAGACCTGGTAAATAAGACACAAAAACTTATCCTACATTATAACATGTTTATGCTTACCTCAAACATTTTCATCTCAAATGTATGACCTTCATATGGGAAATAAAAAATTATTTAAAAAAATGCTTTCCACAGAACAATCAATGCTCACTTGTCTCCTGTTTTCTGCACACATCACATTTACTATGACCTTACATTGCATTCTATCCTTGTCTGGTCAGAGCTATTCCTACAAGGAATGTACAAAGCAAGACATTTGAGCAGCACAGCAACTGCAAAGGACTGGAAAAAAAGCACAACAATCTCTCAACAGCTTCTGCCATGGGCTGTTTCAGTTACAGATTTCTACTCTGTCACTCCACCTATCCCTTTTCATGCTCAATCTAGAAATGCAGCAGAAAAGAAATGTGGGATGAAGAGTTGACCTGAGAATTCCTTTTTCCTTATCCCGCTCATTATCTACAGTGATCCAAAAGATTTATAGTTTTGTTTCTAAGTCTACTTTTTAACCCTGCACACAGCATAAGCAATTTTAAAGGAAAGGAGAGTAGCTGGAGAAACACAGATTTTATCCTGGGTCTTCCCAGATCCATAGAGCAATTTCTGCTGAAGAACAGGCTGTTACTCTCCCTGAACTATCACATGCAATAAAAGATGGCATCAACAATTTACAAGCAGTTTACCCCCCTGCTAAACTACAGTACATTAGTGATCCTGACTCCGTTCTAGCCCTGAAAAGGAAATGCAGCCCGGCGGTAACAGACAGATCTGATAAGCACATAATGCCAACAGCGTTTAAAAGAAACAACACCGGAGTCAGGCCAGCAGGAGATGCAGATCGTGCCTCTTGTTCTGCCAAAAGTCACCTCTGAGGTCCCAGTTTTAAAATTAAAGACCCATAATTGCCTTACAAAAGCGCTCAGATGTGCACATACACAAGAGCAGCGTTGTAGCTAATGACTCCTGAGATTTCCCAAACTAAGCGATCTCAAGTGTTTTATTTGTTACTGCAACAGAAAAAAAACAGCTCTTCCATGTGAGGAAGCAGCTCCTGGCTCTGAGCAGGACCACAAGCAGCGCTGGAGGGGCAATCCCCCATCCTCACTGCCTCTCCCCAAGGAAGGCTTTCCCAAGTCTCCAACTTCTGCTTCCCATGTGTCAGAATGGGCCACTGGTAAATTTGTTTCTTCACCACTAAAACTGGCGTCTTCTTTATGCATGCTTCCAAAAAAATTGGGAGTCCCTGCACCAAATCCAAAATGCATTAAATGAGAGCTTCCTTTTCCTTTCTGTGAGCTACTGCCTGGGCTTTCCAGAAGAGGGAGGCTAATTCAGCTGAACAGTAGAACATAAATCAGGCCAGCTGCAAGATCTGACTGAGGTCTATACTCTCCCACTGGTCTGAAACGGCATAATCCATCATCCAAAATGCCCTCATGTCATCTCGCAGAAGTTCTGGCTCCAAACTGGAAAGACTTAGTCCAAAAAAATGGAAAAAAATTACAGTGAAATATCAGGAGGAGGTGTACATGCACTTAGTGGATGGAACAAACTCCTGCCCCATAAAATTAAGCAGAGCTTTTTCTGACCATTACCCTTCAATAACTCCTCAAAGGAAAACACCAACCATCTGAATTCCTGTGGGAAAAAAAGGACTATATATTGATGGCAGGAGGGCATCTATACACACACAGAACAAGGCAAACATCTCACCAGGAAAGAGCCAAGTTAACAGGGCTGTACCAACAATGAATTGTAAAGCTCCTTTGAAACTTAGTCCTTTCTTTGTGTTCTGTCTCTCCAGCCAGAAAACTACGCTGTGATTTTCAGAGAGACTCAGAAGTCAGGTATCTGATGCCTACTACATTTAATTTACAGGTTTTGTCCACCTTTATCCCATTGGGGCACAGAGTACCCTGTGAAACCAGTATTACATTCAGTCTGCAATCTTAGTGGGAATCCGAGGTTAATTACTTTTTTCCCCAGCAATATTTGGCACAGGAGGGAGCCAGCTGTACACTGACAGGCACTTTGCACAGGCTACTGCTTTCAGAGATTTCAAAACCCATGTCTGCCTTCGTGGGCAAACTACTTCACATCTTCCTGCCTTTTCCCCTTACACCTTGTGCTGAGTATTTACACTACAAATCCTTCCAGCCAAGGATTCTCACCCTGCGCCTGCTAAAGCCTGAGATGTGTCAATCTGAGCACATCAGAAGCAAGGATACTCATCTTTATCTCATTAACATGCGCAATGATTTTGGGCTCTAGTATCAAACACAGAATGTTACTCCAGGAGAAAAATCCCACTGCTACACCAAGGATGACCACAGTCACATAACAGGGAAAATCTAGTTCTGTGTCTTTTGCCTCTATGCCCCAACACTTGAATACACTCCTACTACATTAACCCATGTCAGCCCTTTTGTCAGTCCATCGGGCTCACAGGTTCCCAGGATATCAATAATTATCTACCAAACACAATTCCATGAGACAGAGCTCACTCCAGGCTCAAACACCTACAGCTGTGTAAACTGAACTCCAGTTTGATCCCCCCCGTGGTGTAGTACCCATTTCTTCAACACAGGAATATGTCAGCCTCTCTAGAAGGACACTTGGGACCCAGAAGCTGAGGACTCTCATCTGAGCCAGCTTCAACTGTCTAAAAATAATGTGTCCAAGTCTCTTTTTATGGCAGATAAAGACAGGCACCTCCAAAAAAGAAGATAAATGGTTATGTTGCTTTTCCCACTGCTATTTCTGCTCCCATTTCATCATCTACATGGGAGTCTAGACAAGTAACTCAAGCACAACTAACTTTCTGACAGCTGAAGACATGTGAAAGACCAATTCACTCAAAGTGCAAATTGCTGGGCACAGGGTATTTGTGAAGAATTTCTGCACAGCGACGGTAAACCCCACTTTTATTTGTGGCTATCCCATTCTAAGCACTACCCTAATTATTTCTGTATTTTACAGTTGTCTCTGGGGTGATTTTAATTAAGGCTTCTACAAATGCTGAATGTCTTATCTTAAAACTCAGTGTTTGCTATCTGGTAATTAAAATATTTAAGAACTGAACATTGTAATGAAAACATAAAACAGTCAAGCAATCCTCTGAGGTTAAATCTACCTAAACGGCAGCATGTTTTGAAAATTAGTGAATAATTCACGGACAACCTACATTTTGCAAGTCACGGAAAAGAAAGTTAACTAGTAAAACTGAATGCATTTATCTTGCAGTTGCATGGGCAGCATCTCTTTATATATCTAAGCAGATAGCTGTTTATGATTGCACCTTTGGAAATAAGTGGGTATTTTGGAAGACCACATCCAAACAGGATAAGGTACATCTCCAGAACTAAGGCTTTTCCGCATCGGCGTCCTAGTTTTCTGTGGGGAATTCAGTTTTATCTCAGCATAGGTCTAAAAAATATGCGAGAATAAAGCGGATGCATTAGCAACGGGTTCTCTAAACCTCAGCCGAGCCAAATAACTGGTCAATTTCTCGGCAGCTACTCTTGTGTTCAGGGGGAGAACGAGAGCGGGGGGACAAGAAGGAAGGGATGGACTCTTCCCTGCCCCGGCACACACCTGCGCCCGCCTGACGCTGAAGCGGCAGAGCGGCGGGGCTGGGGAAGGGGCCGGGGCCGGACGGTGCCCGCGGGGCACCCGGAGCCCAGCGGCCGCTCTGGCTCCCGCCCGCGCTGCCGGGGCCGGCCGGGACGGGGCCGCACCCCCGGGCCCAAAACTCGCCGGGAGCCGCATCCCCGCTCCGGGGAAGTTGCCGGGCGGCCCCCTGCGAACACCCCCCTCCCCGGGCCCCACTTACATGGTGCTGGCAAAAGGGGGGGGCGGGTAGTATCCGTAGGGCTCCCGGAGGGTTTTGACAGCTCTTTGCGGCGGCGGAGGGGGCTCCGGCCCCCCATTGACGCCTCTCCAGCCGCGGCGCCGGCGCTGCTGCTCCTCTTCCTCTGCCCCTTCCTCCTCCTCCTCCTGCTGCGGGGGGAAGGTCACTCTCCCCTGCTCCTTGCTCTTCCTGCTCTTGCTCGACATGGTCAGGGTCCCCTTAGGCGGCGGCGGCCGCCGCTGCTCCCGCTCCCGGCCGGCCTCGTCCGGCAGCGTGCGCGGCGGGGAAGGAGGCAGGAGGAGGAGGAAGGAGACACAAGCCCTGCTCGGCGGGGGACAGAGCACCTGGAGAGGACAAGCCCCTCACCACAAACCCACGGCCACCCCGCCGCCCGTCGGCAAGGCGGCGCGATGCGCAGCCCGGCAGCGGGAGCCGGGAACTGCCGGCGAGGCGAGCAAGAGACAGGGCTCCCAGCAGCGGCGGCGGCTCTGCCCCCCTCCTCCTCCTCCTCTTCTGCCTGTCATCATCCCTCGCTAGGACGGCATCATCACGGAGGCAGCGGGGCCACGGAGAGCACACCCGCCTCCCGCAGCGAACGCTCCGGAGAGGAGGAGACGCTCCCGTCCCACCTCCGCCCCTCATGGCCCGGGAGCGGGGGGGGCGTGAGGGGGCGGCGCGCTGCCACAGCAGAGCTACAAATGCCCCTCAGCCGCCCGCTGCTACCGCTGGGTGAGGTAAATCCTGCTCCCGCTGAACCGGGAATGTGTAGGGGAGCCCTCAGGAGGTGCCCGCCGAGCCGGCGCTGAGTCCTGGGGGAGCCCGGACCCGTGAGGCGGGGGTCTGTCAGCGGCCAGGTAATTCTGGCCAAAGCGGCCCAAAAGCGGCCAACAGCCCGGCCAAACCCGCACGAAGCTCGGCAGGTACTTGTGGAAATGTCCAGCCCCACACTAGAAACAGCTGAAGTTGAAATTTGCAGGTGAAAAAGAGGAGCTTTTGATTGTCTTACCGAGCGAGCCGAGGTTCCCCAAAGTGTTCCAGATGTCTCTGCCTTAGGCTTGACTATTTTATTTCTGTGTGGTGCCAAGCTGAAAAACAGTGGGAGGATGCTGAGACGCCCATGGCATGTAATCAGAACGAATTATGCTCTATAGAGCCCAGTCACAAAGATTCCTGCTGTACAGAGACATATTACGTCTTCCATTATTATGAGTTTTTGGGTTTTTTTTCCATGCATTATTTCACAGGGAAAATTATTTTGTGAGGGCAATCCTTTTACAATCAAGGCAGAGCCTGTGTGCTTTTTTTTATGCAGAACATACAGACTGGTAGGTACATATAGAGTGCATGTGTTAATTTATATATAATAAAGCCATTACTTTGTCTACATCCTGCTGAGATGCTATTTTTTGTCTTGCTTTAAACTTTTTTTGAGCAGTATCAGTATAAATTTCCATGAAACTACATTCCAAATCTGCATTCAGATGCTGCTGAAATTGAAATTCATTTAAGCTTTCCAATTACTTCGGAGAAAGTGGAGTTTCAATCCACATATCATCACTAAAATGAAATTCTCATTTGTGAGCATCAACAAGTAGTCTTAATGTAAAATATTTATTAGCTCACACTGTTTTAAGTACTATCCCTGGTTATGCCTTTGTTTTCCATGTGTACAAAGTTTGTCATTGTGAAACACAGGAAAAACCAACCAAGAGTTTCACAGAGATAATTTTCTCAGCTGTGGCTTTGAAGGAAAAAGAGGGCTTTGTTTTCATCAGTTTAATTAACTTGCATCTTGAACTGTTTAGGGAAGTGGTTTTTTTATGTCATTCATCACATGCAAAAGCCCTTTGACCTTCAGTGGAATTATGTGCACAACAGAGCAAATTTTGCTCTCTAAGAAACTAATATATAGTGTAGTTACTATAACTCTGAAGTGCTTGGGGTTATTAATTTCAGACAGTCTAGGTGTCTAACCTAATTATACATTTGTATCAGTGTCATACATTTTAAAGCACAGCCATGCAGCAATCTGTCTGCATCACACCTTGTCTTCTTGCAGGGATCCTTTGACTCAAAAAAATTGTACTGCCCATATTGTGTTCTTTTTATTAAAAAAGTCATCTGTTATTAGAGGGGGCTACAGGAATGGACTTTCAATTGCCTTGAGTATTTCCCTTGAGAACAAAACATAAAAGTACAGCTGAAAGTCAATGAGAAATGCTCTTGCCTCACAAATGTATGCTCAGAGCAAGGCTTTCACATGTCAGGTTATATTGGTGGTTTTGGTTTTTTTTTTCAGAAATAAATAGAAAATTGTTTTAATATTAGTTCCTAAGTCTTATTCTTGCTTTCTCCATTGCATCGCCTATGACTAATTTGATCTGTGTTCTGTGGGCTGTGTTTTTTCATAATTTGAATATTGTGTAATAGAGATTGGTTTGCTGTTCCTATAATGAAAGGTAATGTCCCCTATTTTGTTATCCAGGTCACTGATAATACCTTGGAGTTCATCCTTGGAAGGATGACTTGGGAGTCATCCTTGCAGAAGTCTTCATGACACATCTCTCCATTTCAAGGGGTAAGATGATAACTCCCTGAGCAATCTTAGTACTGAAGGACAAGTGTAGTGTAAAAAGAGTTTACCAAATCCCTTTTTCTTTCTCCCCATACTGTCTCAGAGCCACCAAGCTGAAATACACAGCTCTTAAGATTGTTTAGATTAAGTGTAATATTCCCCTTTGTTTCTTTCCATGAGATCCAGCCTAAAACCAGCCAGCATGGCAACAAAAGAACCCATTGCAAATCTCAAATGTACATTGTGTGGTTACAGTGTTAGAAATAATGCATATTTCTAATTGGAATGTGTAGGTAAGTTACCTTGGTCACAGTGAAGTAGTTTATAAGAAATTTACCACAGTTTGGAGTGCCAGGCTGCTGCCATTGGAATAGGGATGTGAGAATCCTTGCATGATTAAACTTCTGCCATCGCTGCCCTACCTGACAGTAAGAATTTAATAATCATTGCTGTGCCTTGGTGGTATGGTTGAGGCTCTCAAGTGCCAGATTCAGACAAATCAAATGCATGAATCTGCACTTTTGAGACAGTGAGAAATCTAGGAGTACTGAAATTGTACCTATGAAATCCTGGTCAGGGCTGAATGTCCCAGAAAACTGATTTCTCTTCATGGCTCACGTTTTTGAAAACATTTATAATTTCATTAATGCCAGTGTTCTGAATACTTATTCTTAAAAATATTTTATGTTATCACAGCATCAAATAGATGTCAACATAGCCAAGTTGAAGAAAGTGAGGGAGAAAAGATGAATAAATGTGAAATACCAGGCAAAGCAAGGCAGGCAAGCTTGTGCTGGCTGTAGATTCAGCTGGTAAAGACTACAGTCAAAGGCTGCCAATCCAGTACATTTTGTGAATGCTGACTTGAATTTACAGGGTTTGGAAGTGATGTAATTTTAATCTAGAAAAATGCTTCCTGGAAGTTGCTTGGAGAGGAGTGAAATAATGAAAGGAATACTACCCTGAGGACAGAGGAGAAAAGCCCCAAATAGTTACAGCTAACAGGTGTGGTGCTTTATGACTAAAGGTGCTAGATTATTCTTCATTTTCTTTTAGAACATGGGTTTAATGCCATAACTATTTCATGTTGGATTTGGAATTGCAGTCAAAATACAATCCCTCATTCTTTTCTCCAAACTGACTTGATCAAGCCAGGGTGGAATTGGAGTGGGACAGGGCTTTGTTTATATGGATAGATTACTCTCTGGCAGAATTTTTGTGTCCTCCTCAAAATTATGAGATATATACAATTCAGATTTCAAAGTTTCCCTTGGCAGTGTTCTTCAGCTGGAAGGGAATGATCAAGAAATAGCTTTTCTAAATGGAAGCAAAGAACACACAGCAATGCATTTCCTTGAAATATTGTCAGAAACATGAGTTCTGTATTTCTCTCTCCCATTCTTTTTCAGCTTCTTTAAACTGAATGAATGAAGTCAACACCTGAAATATGAAAACATATAGCACAGTTAGAATTTATTATAACAGAATAGCAGGAAATATATTCAGGTTCTTAGACTAAACTACCATAGCAATAAGACCTTGCAGGTCTATGAGGCACCTAAATGAGCAGATAAGCACTTAAGTAAGACTGGGAAAAGTGATGGGGAAAAAGATCATTTAGGGAATTATCCTCTGGGGTTATCCCTTACTGGAACTACTCTCCCAGGTACAATGACACTGTTGATTTGAAAATAAATCCAACTTGTTTGTTGAAAATTGTGTTGTAGACATTAATACCTCCTTGTTGAAACCGAGTGATTTAGAGTTAAGAACCAGTAACATGCAAGAAACTTCTAGTAATAATTTCCCTCATGGAACAACTTGTATGTTACATGCCAAATTATTATTTTTCTGCTTTGTTAAAAAAAAAAAAAAGGAAGAGTAATTTCCCTCAAGAGATAAAACTGGTTTTTATTTGCTTGAAGTGACAGGTGAAGAGAAGCAAAAAGACACTCATGGTAATGCTAGAAATAGAATCCAGGTCGTGCAGTACATTGAACCCTTCTCTAACGTGTGTGTACTACTTTTACAAAAATTGGGAAGTTGGTGGGAATAGCAACAGTGTAATGAAAGCAAAATTGGCCTTCTTTGCCTCATACTGGGAATTTGCCTACTTGCCAAGAACCCAGTGTTTTCAAGGACATTTAGCTCCTACATCAAGGACTTCTATGAAAGTCTAAACAGGTTAAATCAGCGTGAAGGAAAAAGGAGTGATGTGATGTCACTGATCTGTAAGCAGATCTCAGCCTCAGAACTAATATTATGGTTTAAGGCTTTTTACATGAGATGAAAAGACACATTCCTGAGACTTGAGCCTGTAATTTCAGGCACCCTGTGCAGCCATTCAGGCCCATGTGAAGTGAGTGGGTATAAAATGCTGTTAAATCACCTACTGCAAACCAGGCCCCTAGAACTGAGCATTGCAATGGTACTATGTGGTCTACTTTATAATAATAGAAGGCTACTGAAGAGCCAGTGGTACCATGAGATAGACACTGGCTACATTTTCAAAGAGGAAATGGACGAATACTCTTTCTTTTTTTGGCATTAAGTGGCAACTACATGTACATTTACATATCTGCACCTATTAGTTCTTTTTTTCCTAAGGCAAGCCAGGTATATCTCTAGACAAATCCAATCCACTTTTGAACAAGTCCACAGGATCCTGAGCTTGTGCCAATTAAGTTTTATTCCTCTCTTTTCAGTCCTACTAGTAGAAATTAGAAGTTAGCAGACTTGCCACTTGGAAAGAGACTGCAGAATCAATTTCCCTTATCTCTGCATTGCCCTGGGGACTGAATGTAGCTTATAACCTCTATAAACTTTACTTTCTTAAGATTTGCTTATCGTTTATATATAAAGGCTGGATTTTTCCCCCTAGATTGATTTCCCTGTCCCTGTGTCAGCCAATACTCCTTGAAAATGTAAACATGAACTTTAGTCTACAGCTGAGTGCTGGGAACCACATGCTAAGTAGATTTATTGTCACAAGCCAACGTCTTTAACAAATCA